GCGGATGCCTCCCCCGCCGCTGCTGAGCGGGTCGCGGGGACGGCGGTCAGCGCCTGCTCCCGCCAGCCCACCACCAGCTGCTGCTGCTGCTGCTGCTGCTGCGTCTCCCTCTTCGTGATGACATCACGCCGTCCGAAGTACCAGCCCATGCATATCCCGAGGGCGATGCCGATGATCTCTACCCACGGCGAGGAGAAGGCCACGACGAGACACCGCCGGAGTAGGACATACACGTCGACGCCGCCGTCGACTTCGATGCTGATGTGTGTTTGGATTGCATATATGTACCGGAAGGTTTCACGCCAAGTTACCGGTGTTCGTGGACAGGCCAACGGAGGGTCGGGGAACGGGGGGGGGGGGTTCTCGACTCGAGATTAGGATATCCGTGGGAATGAGAAAATGCTAAGCTCGAAGCACGGTCTGTACAGGAAAAAGATCAATCCGAAGATACCTCGGTCTACTTCGCACACCAGGATATCGGCTGATGGATTGATTGTCCTACTGCTGGGTGGGGCGCACTTTGGCAGATACGCTGAATTTCTGTTGGGCGCCGTTATATTTCGAAGGGTGGAGGGCAGGGGGTTGACAAACGGATGTCGGGCGGTCCTCACAGGCTGTATGCATACGTCTGCTGCTGCTGACCATACTCCATCCCACACCCTTGGCCAACAACTCAGCGGCAGGCGTAGGGCATGCAAGCTCCCCCGAACCACCTGATCACGACTTCATCCTTCAACGCGTACTTGTAATGCCACTAACGGCGTGCATCCTTGCGGTTAGTCCGCGCGCCCGCGGCAGCGGGAGTGCGCAAAACACCACGCGGTATTCTACCATGTACTGGTGTAGGAGTACAGTATATCGAAGATATGCACACCATCAATCCTCGTGAACATTATGAACACTATTTAATGCCCGCATAGGCCGGCATCATACGCAGCGCCGTTCCTGGGGCATGCAGAAACCGGCACAAACCAATAGCGTTTTGTTGGCGTCACAAAAGGTTATCGCACTCACATCGCTGCAGCTACAGGTCGGCCCAGGAGCCGCCCCAGGAGAAGCATCCTGCCCGCCTACCTGCCTGTGTCTCAAGCGCGACAAAGGCTGTCAAACCAAAGGGCCTGCGGGACAGGGGGCAAGGGTTGAGCGATTCAACAAGCGACCATTGTCACCGGGTGAGAAACGAGGATATGCGCGTCACCCGGTGGTGTGACAGACGCAGATTAGCGCGAGAGCAGAGTGTGCGCCTTCCTCTCCAGCCACGCCGGTACCACCAGCAGAGGCCCGCCGTTCAACAAAGAAAGGCAAACTGCCAAATTTCAAAATAATCGTGGGAAACCGGTTATAGAGCGGGCTCTCTTCCCCTCTTTGCTGAGCGGGGGGCCGAAAACCAGATCACACAAACTCGAAACTGCTGCGCGTCTAGGGCTCAGAATACCAAAGCAGCGGGGGGATGCAAACCAGACGTGGCACACACACACTCACGTGTCGTCACAACTATCGTGGATGAATCAGACCGGTGGAGGGCTACCTGTATAAGGGGTATGTGAACCGGACCACGAACAAAGGGCGCAACAGCGGCGGAGGAAAAACCGAGACCAACGCATCGTCCTGGACAGCTCACCTCCAGCACAGACCTGGTCCAGGGACCAAACAGAAGGAGATACCTATTGTTATCCAGGCCTCCACTCGCTAACTCACGCCCGGCTGCTCCGTTGCGCAGTGGCGCAGTGGCGCAGTAGTGGTGAACGGCATCACCTGTCGCACACACAGGTTCTGCTCAGCGGAGCTCCGCAGAATACATTCATTCTCGTTGTTGGGAGGGAATGGGGGGGGCTCCGGCTGCTGTTGTGCCGCCAGTGACAATTAGATATACATACCCTTTTCTTTATAGGTCATACATGTACCCCATCATGCCATAGTCAGTCATCAGTCATTCACATGTACGCCTGCACACTTGCACACAGCGTACCGCGTGCGTGGTGGCCGTGGTTAACATGTTTATGGCTCCACCGCTCCACCTTACTTACTCGTTCGCACACACGGCAAGGGTTCTCCACATACATACATACATTGTCTAGTATGTGTCTACACGGACGGGAAAATGTATCACGTTGTTAGTTTTTTAGGAGGATCCGTGTGCAAAGACAGGATGCAAATTACGGTGATTGCGGCAGATTCAGCACCACACGGACCGATTTTTCAAAGTTATCAAAGTAGTGTTACTTCCGCGACAAAGATGATGTCACGATAAAATTATATGCTTTTGGAAAACTCTCGGCGAGACGGTTGTAATGCCGCCGCCGTTTCGGCGCCGTTACTGCTGCTCTGCTGTTGTTGCTGCGGAGCGCCCACAGCTTTGACAAGCGGTCAAGGGGGTGTGGTATCTTACGCAACCTTCGTCATTTTCCGGGGGTGTTCAGAACACATCGAGCTACAACATCATCTCTGTGTATTAATCAGGCCTTCACGGTTCATTCACCTGTCTGTCTGTCTGTGCAGACATAATGGGCTACATTTTGTGGAGTTCGATGCATGCAGTAGGACAGTCAAGCAATGGCACGACTCTAAACATTCATGCAACCCGGCGTGAATGTAGTTGTCATTTGGTGATGATGCCATTTCAATTTCTTCGCGTATTTGTTCTGATGCCATTCATTGCAAATATATAGGGGTGTTTTGTGAAAAGAGGGAATCGTCCTCGACAGACGTTGGGGAGTTTCTACCTTTATGAAGGTGGTCTCCACATTACCCCCCCCTTTTTTCGAGACTTTTTCTTGTTGCCCAGGCAAGAGAAGTCTTCTTGGGGTAACCGGAACCCGACCGGCTGGCGGCGGGGCGATTCACATTCCTCACAATCCTCTGTACGTGTTTTACGGGTTCGCTACGTCCGCCACGTTTTCAGAAGTTCCGAGTTCGATAGCCAGTGACGTT